ATAACAACACAAGAGCACACAATAGATACAAACTCAAAGTTAACCGCACCAAACTTGATTGCAGGAAATACGACTTCAGCAATAGAGTGGTCAATGTCTGGAATACTCTACCCGACTCTGTAGTTTCTTCCCCAAACCCCAAAAACTTTAACCTTAGACTGTCTACTATTGACCTCACCCCTTTCCTAAGAGGCCTGTAGGGGGCGTGCATAAGCGCACCAACGTGCCTACCGTCCCTGTCCTATTGTTTCTCTTATTCTTTTATTTTTCTTATATGTACCCATTTCATGTATTCACAACTATGTATACATTTATACTTATTATCTTGTAAACAATTGGCAAATCAAATAAATAAAATAAATAAATAAATAAATAAACTTACCAAATTTTCAGATGATACTAAGCTGGCAGGAATAGCTAACACCCAAGAAGACAGACTCAAGATCCAGATGGATCTTGATAGACTAGAACACTGAGTCGTATCTAATAAAATGAAATTCAATATAGAGAAAAGTAAAGTCCTACACTTAGGCAAGAAAAACCAAAAGTACACATATAGACTGGGTGAAACCAGGCTCAATAGCAGTAACTGTGAGAGGGATCTTGGAGTCTTAGTGGACAACCAGCTAAATATGAGCCAGCAGTATGCAGCCGCCGCCAGAAAAGCTAATGCAATCCTAAATTGTATTAACAGAGGGATACAATCAAGATCAAGGGAAGTACTAATACCACTCTATAAAGCCTTAGTAAGACCACACCTAGTAAGACCAGTTTTGGTCACTACATTATAAAAAAGATGTTGAGACTCTAGAAAAAAGTACAGAGAAGAGCAACCAAGGATGATTAGGGGACTGGAGGCTAAAACATACAATGAACGGTTGCAGGAACTGGGCTTGGCTAGTCTAGTAAAGAGAAGGACCAGGGGAGACATGATAGCAGTCTTCCAATATTTGAGGGGCTGCCACAGGGAGGAAGGGGTCAAGCTATTTTCTAAAGCTCCTGTAGGCTAGATAAGGAATAATGGATGGAAACTGAACAAGGAGAGATTTAACCTGGAAACAAGGAGAAACTTTCTGACAGTGAGAACAATCAACCCATGGAACACCTTGCCCTCGGAAGTTGTGGGAGTGCCATCACTTGAGACTTTCAAGAAGAGATTGGACTGCCATTTGTCAGAAATGGTGTAGGGTCTCCCGCTTGGGTGCTGGATTGGACTAGATGACCTACAAGGTCCCTTCCAACTCTGATTATCTGTATCTGTACCTTAGCTCATTCAGTAACAAAGTCTCTAAGATGTTGGAAGAATCTTTGATGATTTTGGCACAATAGTTTTCCATGGCTGTCCTGTAAAAAATAATAGTATTTGTTGTAACGGTTATCATTATTATTAGTCACTCTTGGTAATACCTTCAATGTATTGTCTGGGTCATATCATGAATAATCAAGAATGCTTGGGATGAATAATCAAGAATGCTTGGGATTTCAGTAGAAAGCATCTTCAAAAAAGATAGTTACTAATGTATGCTAGTGAAAGTGAATCACTTTTCCACAAAGCATTGAAACAGACACACTCTTTATAAAATTGATGCTACAGCTTTAAAAACTGTCCCAATTGCTCAATGCTTAGTTACATTGGCACTCCCAGAAGAAATATGGTCTGTTCACACATGACAGCACACAACTGCTAACATATTTTGTAATTCAGGGCTTTCAAATGCTTTGCATAGCTCTACTGTTAGACCAAGAACGCAGCATACTTTTGAAAATTTCCAGCAATTTGTAGCCTGTACATTAGTTGTTTTCACGTTTTCATGGGTAGCAAACATTATTCAACAATTTTTCAAGAATAGGATTTATCCTTGAAAAAAAGACAACTAATTTTCTTATAATATTTTTATTGGATAATTGAAATATGGGGAAAAAATTTCAGGGAAGCTATGGTGACTGGAAGATAACTCCATAGTGACCGGAGTTGATGGCCATGATGGAATGAGAAGTTGGCAAATGGATGGGCTTCTTGAATTTTCTCTCCAGATAAGGAGAGAACTCAGGATTGCCCACACATAGCACAGAGAATAATTTCCCATGAACAAACCAGAAAACAGGGTCTCCAGTGGTTTAGAGCACTGAGAACCAAAGGAATTGTCACCATGCTTTTCAAAAGCCTTCAAAAGAACACTGGAGCCACATATTTCATTTTTTAATATCCTTTAGAAATTGTTTGTTCACTGCTTGTTGGATATTAAGAACCTGTATATTGGCAAGTTTCATTAAATCGTGTAAGTCTCCTTCAATCCTCAGTGAAAGAAGTTTTGTGCAAGTTTAAGAATTTGAAAAACATTTTTAATAACAGCAAAAGGTGATTAAAACATTGACTTTGGAAAGTTACAAATTAAGAGCCAGAATTTGAAATAAGATTTTGAAACTAATTCCAAGAATCATTCCAACAGGAAAATATACTGTAGTTGTATGGGAAAAAATTAAACACTTTGAAATCAAGTATAAGAAATCTTCCTGTGGAAAAATGTTATTGATCAGAAAAATAAGTGACAAGATGGAATTTTAAAAGTTGACCAGAAGAAAACAGAAAGAATAAAAAGATTATAATTAAAGAAAAATAGACCCGCTAATACAGAATACAACAAATTATTCTAATGGATCAAATTTAAGAATATTTGGGACTAATTCACTCTGAAGTTATTTTTAAGTTTGTCTGTTATTAATAAGACTGCTTCCAAGGCTGACTAGAATGTGGATTTAAAAATTACAGATTAAAAGAATGATATAGATAAAGATGTTATACTGGGTATACAGTATACAAGCGAAACCAGATGTCTTAACAATTAAAAGAGATATACAAATAACAAACCAGAAGGGTGACTTGGACATTTTTTTTTTTTTGTTATTTTTCATTTACGAAAGAAATGTGTTAAAGATTTAAAGACTTTCTGAGAAGAAATATGGATACAATGGGAAAAAATCCTGCACACTATTAAAAAGTAATAAAAATCAAGTTTGTTAAAAATAAAACAAATGAATATAAGTGGAATTATTTAATGAAGATATAGATAGATGATATATAGATAGATATAGATATATAAATATATGTTATTATTTTTGATAATTCTTAATGGACTTTTGTTGACTAGATTTAAATGTTGAAGTTTTTAGAATCTGTTTATAAATAAAGAGTGAGATGGGATGAAGGGGCTTTTTGATCCTTCTTTTCAATCTTGTCCATCAGACCACTGTGAAAAGAAATATCAATGCATATTGTGGTACTCCCTTAATAAGTCAAGCCCTCCATCTTCTGGCAATGTAGAATATCACAGCCTAAAGAATGGAGAGCAGAGTAAAAGGCAGCAGGTTTTTACTTTCATGCTTATGTCTACTTTTGTAACTATTTAATATGACTACGCAAAGCATTCGATAAGAATCTTTTACAAAGTGTGCTGGCACAAGCAACACATCTCTCCTTTAAGCTTTAAAGCAGCTGCATCCTCTGGAAAGCTTGGCAAGCTCATCTGAATGCTATCTCCTAAAGACAGAAGCATTTTCATAGGGATCACCAAGGAAACACTTTGCATGCATCAACATGTTCTTTACATATCTCTACAATAGAGTCGACAATTGCTCACAATATATTCTGAGTGCATTAAGTATACAACAGAACTAGATTCCCTTGAATTGTGTTAACCCAATAATTCATTTCAATCTCTATGTGTTCCTGGCAGATTAAATATTACAGATGGTGCCAGGAAACAAATCAATGGAGATCATTGAGATTCGGGGGGGGGGGGGAGATTAAAATTAATGAAGCTTAATTTCACCAATGGCAATATACCACTGTTATATATTCTGAAACAGAGAAAAAGCTGATCAGCAGCAAGAGAGTGTGACCATTTACTGTGACAATGAAAGAAGACCTGAAATATCAGATTAGGTATAGATTATCATGGAGAAAATCTATCCATGGCATTGCTAATAGTTAATATTAACTTGCTGGCCCACAATTCATCAATATATTCTGAACAATAAGCAGCCTGCAAAAGAAATGGTGCAATAATAAGCATTCAAGACACATGGCCGAAATATATTTGCTTTGTTAGATTTTCATCTTACTTCTGTAACCTTGAAATTCCACCAAATCTGCTCCTACTTGTATCACTCCATTGCTGTACTCAGAAACACTGAGTAACCTGTCCAGGAGATAAAACAAGTAGAAGTGTGGATCGTCCAAACTAAAAGACAAGATGTGGCAACGTATTATAGAGTTACTTCTGACACAACCTTTTTTGTTCATCCCCATAATTCAAAATGATTGTACAGCATCATGCTACTTTCTAATAAGAATAACAATATGACATTATCAAAGTGTAACATGGCAATACTTTAAAAATGTCACCCAATATAATAGTTCACAGTTTAATAGCCAAATTTAAACAACTAAATAGAGCTAACCTAATAAGCAGAATGTTATTTAATTTTAACCTTATGCCTAATTAAAATATTTATTGTTAATAGGAAAAAGTAGTTTATAAAAGACTTAACTAAATATGACATTATTGTTGCTAGTTGAAATATATATTATTTATAACTATGCAATGAATTTATTTTAAAAAGGAATTGAACGTATTGAAACTGATTTTTTTTTAAAGGAACTGCAATAGCACTTAGACTTATATGCTGCTTCATAGTGCTTTATAGCCCTTTCTAAGTGGTTTACAGAGTCAGCATATTGCTCCCAACAATTTGGGTTTGCATTTTATCGACCTTGGAAGGATGAAAGGATGAACCAACATTGAGCCAGTCAGAATTGAATCTCCTGGCAGTTCAATGCAAAATTAGTGCAGAATTTGTGAGCAATACTGCATTCTAACCACTGCACCACCAAGGCTCATGGTTGACAGATAGCATTTATATCTAATTTTTCTTAGAAAGCATTGCTAAGTCTCATATTTATCTCCCTTTCTCTCTCTCTCTCTCTTCTCTCATTTCAGCATTCGAAGATTATATCATCATGGTTCAGTCAACAACCTGGTAAACCATGTGCTTTTCAATGTGTTCTATGTGACAAATACTTCATAACATTTACAGTGTTAAAATATGGAAAGAATAATTAGGACCCTTTCAGACACCCTTTTGCTTTGAGAAGAATACCAATGAAAGTGTCTTCTGTGCATGCACTATATGACTACACTAAATTTGACAAAACATGAGTATCTCATGGCTATGAACAGTTGGCTTATAGAATCTAGCTCTAATTTTATTGGGCAAGAACCTTAACTTACACTTGCCTTTAAGTATATAAGCAAGTCTTTGATTCCAGTAGGATGGCTTGTGTGACATCATATGAAAAATTAAGCCTCCAGACAGATACACTTTTTGGTAGAAATCATGCCGAATACCTACCATGGGATCTATTTCAGAAATATGTTGATCTTGCATTTTGAAGTAGTTATTTATCATCAGCAGTGAAAAGAAAAACCAGGACTGATTATGAGATTTTGTTTGCTTCCTATTATGGAATAATTAATTCTATAATTAATTCAAAAAGAAGGATCTTTTTGAGTTTTGAATTTAAAGCAAGTTTCCATCATAGTAACAAAAAGTAAAAACTGTGATCAAAAATAGTACTGTTAGTACTAAATAATAGAAAATGGCCTTTTAAAACATAACAGTGAAGAAGTTAAACTTATCTGTTGCTAGAAATGTAAGATATCAGGCAAAATCCATTTTGAACCTATATACATTCATATTTAAGTTACCTTAGGTTTTCTCAAATAAAAAAGGAAAGATGGCAAGTAGATATAATGATATTATATAAATCCTATATTAGGATTTTTCTGGTCTTCTGGCCAGTAGAATCCCTACTGATGCTTAATCTTCACTTGGATTCATTCAAATGAATTCAGAGTTGATAGAAATTTTATGACTGCCAAGTAGATATTTTTGCAATTACTCCATATGGCACCTGAGAACAAATGGTAAGCTTTGGTTTGGCTACTCTTCTAATAGATATGGAAGTAATTTTTAACAAGCAAAAAAACATGTTCTGGAAGAAAGTGTTGCAGGGATATGATGATTACATTACTAGTTGTACCATACAAAGATTTGTATAATAGACACAGAGGTTAGTTTTATTTTTCACACTAGATGATTACTTTTTTAGCTAAATCCTGAAAAAGTATAGAATGTTGCATATGTTCAATCCTTTAAAATCAAGACAAATATTGCATAGAGAGTCAAATTTATAATCATGTACTCACTAGTATACCAAGTGGTTGATGAAAAATCTATAAACCCAATGGATGATCAGGAAGGACAGAATAACAACCTGACTTCTATTATTTCCACATAAATACTGGAGCAAACATAGCAGACATATTGTTTTAAGCAAACTTTGAAAAAAGTCTAAAAAATCTAATTAAATGATTTTAAAAAATGGTCAGAAAAATGAGCATTGGTAGCAAAAAGAATAACATTTGCAAGCTATCTTGAAAGAGATATTTTGAATGGATCTTGGTGGTTCACATAATGTCACTTGATTCCTAATACCTGATTAGGAACAATGAACAAACTGAGCTAACAATAAACATAAAAGATATCCATGGGCATGATGGGATATTGAGGGACTATAAAGATGATTCCCATACAACCAAAATGGATTCTATTGTTTAGAAAAGGGGAGGGGACTCTTTATTTCTTTTATGCAGTATTTGACACAGTGGTGGGAAAAGTACATAAAAAGCCAAAGATACCTTTAGTACCACAAAGTTTAATAAATAAACAGAGAAGTTCTAACTTTTGTAAAATAATCCCACATACTGTCAGGTTGAAATATGATCTCCTTTCCTTTTTTCATTACCTTGCATTAAACTTTATTTGCTCCATGGAGACAATGGCCCTATCTTGGAATGAGTTCCTTATCCCTCAGCCTGGTGTGCAGTCCTGCAGCACTTTCATATTGCAAAAGCTTGGCTCTTGAGAAAATAATGAGTGAATAAAAGAAGTCTTGACTTGACACAACGATAAATGAGGTGACACTTTTTTTTTTAACCGTCAAGGAACCAGTTTTGGTCCATAGGAGAAAAAAAAGTTTCTATTTTAATATGGAACATAAAGCATTCATTGTACAAAAAAGTGTTTTTCATCAGAAGCAAAGGAAGAACAAAGATAAAGGCAGCAATCGAATGAATGAGTTGAGAAAACTAAGATAATGCCGTTGATAAGCAGTTCAAGGCGACACATTGTTCACCAGGCCACCAGCCCAGCCCTAGGAGACAGCTTTTAAAAGTATCCCTGTATGCATTTTCCCTCTTCTCATTACCATACCTGCTCTTTGAAACTCACCAGTGGTTCCAACAAACTACACTGACACCTGCCGGAAAGAGCCGGTGACCCATCTTAATCAACTACTTCTATGAAAAGTCTATGGAAAGAACTGTGTCCCATCTTTACTTTGCTATTCAGAAAGCTATTTGTCAATGGGTATCCAGAGAGCCATTGCTATGAACAAAGATCTGTTTCTGTGCACTGGAAATGTGGCACCATGATCAAAGTTAAGGAGAATCTCCTACTTGTTTCCTTTGTTCATGAATATGTCCCTTCTCTTATACGACTACTAACACCAGAATAATTACCTGTACTTTATCCAGTACTAGTTTGATTGTGATGAAATGATTCCAGCAGCGCTCTGAATGGAATTGGGATTTTTGAAGCACTCTATTTACTTTTTTAACAAGGCATTTCTCCTACCTCGAAGACCATAACAAATGTTGCAGGCACATCACAGTATTATATAGGAGCAGTCCATAGATATCAAGGGGGAAAAAATAAACTCTCTTATAAAAAGATTTTGAACAATGCGAGTTTGGATTAAAAGTTGAGATACAGTCTGGAAATGCAACAATAAATAGAACATTTGTCATTGACCAATGTTTAGAATGTAGACTATTTCCCAATTAGAGTAGGTATTATTCCTACAAATATATATACTAATCTCATTTTTTAAAAGAAATTTTAAACATTTTCCCATATATATTAAAATGTCATTATGAGATTTTGTACACATTTATTTTTAATATATGTGAGATATAGTAACAAAGATTTCAGAAGATCAATTGGCAAATGCACTCAATGCCTATATATGTGTGTGGGAGATGTATCGATTCATATGAACTTAACACCGAGAGCTATTCTCAAGTTGAAATGAAAATCATGCACATTCTTTATCAGGAATATTTTTTTCTATTGGACAATCCAGTTTGCTATTCTGTCCATAATATAATGTGAGATACAATGAGCACACAAGACTGATCAAAAGAGGAACACAATTCAAGATATGAATACAAAATATTCCAGCAATATTTGTGCCAAGGAAGCTGATGCATTAATGTTTTTGTTATTTACCTTGTATAATATCAGATTTTTCATCTATTTGCAATGACAATCAGTTAAATACAACTTTCATAACAACATGACTAGTTATTCAATACAGCATATTAGGCACATGCCTTTTACAATACTGCGTGATTTCCCCCTCCCCAAATATGCAATTGGATTGTGACCATACCTTCAAAATATTATACTGCATGAAACAATCTATGCCAAGTCATTGCCTCAGATTTCAACTCTTTCTAAAAATTGTTGTGGAAGTAAAATGAATTAAAGATCAATTAATGATCCAGACTACATCTTCAGAGAAGATAGTTATTTGAAGTTTCATTTCCAGGTTGCAGTTATTTATTTATTATATTTATATCCATCTTCCTTCCAAGGGCTCAAAATATACCCCATGCTGTTTTGTTTTCTGCAGTAGATTACACAAAGGAATAGGAATGTGCTGATAATCACCATGTTTTTTCTATAATGTTGTCTAGTGTAATTTCACCAGATCAATACATATTTGCTACACTAAACAACTTTGAAATGCTATGCTTCATTCATGTTATAGTCTGTTTTGTTTCTGATATATCTGCAGGTTCTGTTGATGACTATGACGATGAATACAGCACTGATTATATAGAGCCAGCTGAGGCTGAAATCAGATTTAGTTTCTTTGACTCTGATTGGATTTATGAATTCTTCACTCATGACGGTACTTCATTATACTCATTATAAGATGGACAATCAGAATATGGGAAGTGAAAGATAGGAATCCAATATTTAGCTAAATGTAGAGCTGGGGGAAATGGAGAACTTTCTACCGCTTTATAAATCTGCTATTGCAAGCAAACATCAGTGTTCTAGGTGAAAAAGCTTTCAATAAAAATGGGTAAAGGTTTTTAAAAAATAAACTTCAAATTTACTTCTCTGTGCTAGTAAATCCCTGCCAGACAAACCCATGCCAGAATAATGGAATCTGTAAAAGAAAGAGAGACAGCTATATGTGTTCCTGCCCTGAACCATACACAGGATCAAAGTGTGACCGTGGTAAGATACATCTTAATCTTGTCACAACTATTACATAAAGCTGAAAAATGTAGATACTATTATAAATCATATAGTTTTACAAAATATAAAATAGATTTATTTACATTCCATTTTAAAAGTCAGCTGGATATTTTCAAGGACTTTCCAGTTTAAATCTATAATTTTGATTTTTCAGGTATGGAATATAATATAATGGAACATAGAAGCGGTACTTGAGAAAGACATTTAGTCCTGAAATAGAGCAAAATAGAATATAAAACAGTAGCTTGAAGTTTGACTGTTATTTTAGCAATAACACAAAAACAACAACTTTGGAATGCAGCAGAAGAAAAATGTAAGAACTTGCTACAATTATACAAGCATAAAACAATAGACTCAGGAGTTAGAAAACAGTTGTGGTCATTTTACTTAGGTCCAGGAGTGGGATTCTACCAGTTCGCACCTATTCACTAGAATTGGTTGTTAACATTCTAAGCAGTTTGTTAGAATAAATTACTGGCCTAATCCTGTAAGGAAAGCAGGAAGAAAATGTGCTGATGTTGTTTACAGAAACTGCCTCTCCGTTAACCCTTATTACATTCTTGGCAGGACTAGACTTTTGTCTAAGGAACACGACTCTGGAATTTTTTTTACCTCCTTTGCTGGTACTTTGCTTGTGTGGAGTGACCATTCAAAGTTACAATGGCACTGAAAAAAGTGACATTACCATTTTTCACACTTATAACTGTTGCAGCATCCCCACAGTCATGAGAGGCCAGGCGAGGAGATGCGTATCTCGATGTGAGTGATATTGAGTTGGCCACACCCAGCCAATAACATGACCACCAAGCCATGTCCACCCAGTCACATGACCCACGCCCACCACCTAAGCTACACCCACAGAACCAGTTGTTAAAAATTTGAATCCCACCCCTGCTTAGGTCTCATTACATTTCAGAATTGTTTGGAAAAAAATGAATAAAATATATAAAGGGTAAGCAATATGAATGCACCAAGCCAATAGGTGTGGCTGGTATGGAAGTCTTCTAAAATTCCAAAAGATCGATAGCTAAATGTAGAGTATAAACATGAGTATCTTCAGTTATTAGACTGAATATCTTCATTTTAAGCTAAACACAGTTAATAGCAATCTCATATAACTATTGCAGGGTAAACTTTAGGAGAAAATGTTTAAAATTGAATATTTTATGAAGAATTGCTTTAAACCAAATAGCTGAAGTATAACTGTATAAAATATTGCATTCTTAAATGTTAGCCAATGTTAATCAAATCAAAATGATAATGGAGCACTACAGAAATTAGTCAAGAACTTGCTAAATGTTACAAAAATATATACATCATAAAACTTATTGATAAATAATTAATTAAATAAAATAGAAATTAATCTTATAAATGCACCTAACCATAATATAATGATTAACCAACGAACAGCATTGATCCAAATATATCTCACATTTTAGAAGCCAGTTTACTAAAAGCGATATCACAAATAAGTTAGATAAGTATGGCAACTCTTCTCCTTAGCATAGGCCTTAGCATAATCCTATATATTGGCTCAAAATATAAATAAGAACTAACTACTGTATATTAATATAATTTTGAGGGTGTAAGAGTTTAATCAAGTGAGCTCATTTTTTAAAAAATTAAGACATTTAATAAAATTGTATCTATGAATTTATTTAATTGTATCTATGTATTTATGAACCAATTCATAAAACATGAAAAGACTCCATAGTGGTACACAATACAGTGCAGTCATATAAATCAGTTTTGTATTAATTAAGGCATGAAACTTTATATATTGTAGCTATAACAATAGTTAAATACATTTATTAAAGATGTCAGATCATGTGCAAACTAAGAATTCCCAGTCAGTACATTAATAAATGAAGCAGTTTTTAAACACAAAACAATTAAACATATTTTAATACTTACATTTACCTCCATTATGTTACATTTGACATCTGTAAAGCTTTTGACTGCTTAGAATGTGACTTTTCAAAATCAGTCCATTGAAGAAATTGTAGTAGGATAAAGGCATTTATATATGTAAGGTATAACAACCTAATCAGTCCCACTAAGACAAAGTAGACAGAGCATGAAATCAATTTCAGTTTATACAAAACTACTTTTATTGAAATTAGCTATAGTAACAGAATCTTGCAAATCTGATTATGTTGTACATCCTTCACCTTCTTATAGTTCAATTAATTAGGAAAGCATTTACCTGATTCACTTCTGAGTGTTATCTTGTTCTAGGATTTTAAAAAATGTTTTAGCTCCTTCTGCTTAGGTAATGATACCTACATATTTCCACCATGCTCACCTTCCTTACTCTTTGCACCTGTAATGCCAGAAAAATTGTAAATGATCATGACTGAGCATTAATCTCTAGAGGAGCATAAAATTTCACTCCTCAAAATAACTAAATAATAATATAAATAAAAACAAAATTAATTCCTTGATTGTGAAATATCTGCATCCAGTTTTTCTTGCCTCCAAATGTCGTATTGCAGATTCTAGGGCTTGACCATCAGGTTGAGTTCTGGGACTTCCCAATTTAAAATATTTTATTTTTTCTATACTGTTTTGTGATACTGTTTCAAACCATTGCAACTTAGTGATAGATAATAATTAATATACATAGTTATTTTGTTATAATGTGAAGATAAGGCATACAAATTCATATTATTTGTGTGTAGAAAAAAGAGGAAACATTTAAAATACAACTGGATATTGGTATTTATATTGCTGTAATGTTGCTTTTTTTCCTCCAAGTTCATGAGCATTTCCATATCTTCAGGGGGATGAAAGAGTAGAGATTGTTTGATTATTTACTGTTTTACAACTCTGTAACTGTAATTTTCACCAGGAATTAGAATGAAATTTCACATTTGTGTATCTCCATTGTCAATCCATGTACTACATAAAGTCTGTTTTTAGCAAATATCCAAAACTTGAAAAATCTACCTAACTTTCTTGTTCTTTTTACTGTTATTATATACTATAGTGAAAAATACATGCCAAAGAATCAACTGCAATCAAGGAGAATGTCTGGTTAGGTTAAGAGCACCTTATTATCAATGCAGTTGTAGATATCCATATAAACCACCATTATGTAGAAAAGGTGAGACAAATTATTATTGTAATATTAGTTGCCAATTTCTAGCATTACGTCTACTGCTGCTGTGTTCTATGGATGAGAATTATAACTGTTTTTCTGGGCTGTCAAACTCATGGCCTACAGGCCAGATGTGTCACAAGCTAGCCATGCCCACACTTGGTTTAGCAAAGGGGACAAAAGTCACGATATATTATGTGATGCCACCATGATGCCATGAGTTTGACACACCTGCTCTAATTTATCCTTTAAAATCAAATATTTTTCACTCTAAAGTTGTTTCTTAACTTATTTCTTAAATGCAAACAATGATCAGGACAGCCTGCATAGAATTATTTTAATGGGCCTATAGACATTAGATTGGGGAGACTTTTTATTTTCCCATATTAAATCCACTCTCTGCTTTTATATGAAAAGTTCCCTTTGAGATACCCCGCATGGAGTTATTTTAAGTACCAATGAGCCCATAGACAGAGCAAACGTGATTTAGGAGATTTTAGAAGTAATTCCACTTATCTTCTTGTTTGTGTGGACAAAAAGTGTCCTTGAATGAATAGCTTCTTACATTATTCAAACAAGCTATCAATCTCATTTAAATACAATATTCTAATTCATTCTTGAATACTAGCATCCTCAGCTTGTCAACCAAATCCTTGTAAAAATGGAGGCACCTGTCAGAGGCATCGTTTAAGGTATAATTTCAGCTGCAACTGCCCTGAAGGTTTCAGAGGAAAATTTTGTGAACTAGGTAAGAGAAGTCTGTATTTTGCAGTGGTGATGGGGTCATAGTGGATAAATTAACCTTTGATCTTTTTAATGAGCTATTAGTAATTTATGAAGAACTGATTAATATTCTTTGTATTGTACACTTTTACATATAAAACTGATCTGAGCTATCATCATCATGATGGAAAAAGTAGATTCAGAATATCCAGCTTAGGTACTTTAAACTCAGTGGAATGCAGGTTCTTGTGAAACCTCATTTTCAGATTTTGTGTGGGTTAATATATCTAAGAATGAAGAGGGGGAAATGCCAGAATAGGCCAAAATAAAACAAAAACATCTTTCAAAACATGATAATTTGTTGTAGATGCTGAAGACTGCTTTGAAGAAAATGGCCACACATACAGAGGAAATGTTAGCCAAACAATCCTCCAGAAAAGATGCCTTCACTGGAATTCTCATTTTCTTTTGGACAGTAGTTATAACGCATTTATGGAAGATGCTGACTATTATGGCCTTGGCGATCATAACTTCTGCAGGTATTCCATGTATACAAGAAATTCCAATTCCACAAATATCATTCTTATTTATATCCTTATTTCAAATCAAATATTACTAAATAATGGTCATTGTTATGTTCTGAGTACATCTTTAATTCAGCCATTAATAAGCATCCTTACCCAAAAAACAACAAGCCACAAAATATTGACTTACAAGATGACAGATGCATTATCACTCTCTAGTTCTCTGGAATGCTCACCATCTTTCCCATTTCCTTTTCCTAGATGCTGTTTTCATTTTTAAATTTAAGGATGTTAAGCCTGCCAATTTGCAGTTTCATTAAAAATCAGTTGAGACACCAAGAACCTAATGGTTAGCAAATGAGGATTCCTCAACACCAGATTGTATATCCTTATGTCAGTATAATACAGGCTAGGTTGTTCCTGTTACCAGTGATGAAATAACAGTACAATAGATTAGTACAATTAATTCATTCTTATTTACAGAAAAAGATCAGAAATATTTGGTCTCACCATTGAAATAATTGCTACTTTGGGTAATGTTTTTTGATACCCAAATACTTTCCTAAAGAATGAATGCTGACAGCATGTCTACAAAGGCATAGAAATTAAGCTTAGGCATTGGCACAATATTATTAGTAGGTAAGTACAATAAGCTGAGAAGATTCCATTATTAATCATGTTTGTCTTCTGAATTTCTGAATGACTTGATATTTCAGTGTAAACATTGTTCAGTTCCACTGCTTATCAGTTCTTCAATTAATAACTTCTGTTCTGAAGATCCATTCTTCTGACAGGTGAATTTTGAAACTTCTCTCTTTTAGGAATCCAGATGGTGATGACAAACCCTGGTGCTTTGTCAATGTGAAAAACAAATTGAAGTGGGATTTCTGTGATGTTCTCCCATGCTTGTCAACAGGTAAAATAAATAATAATAACATGGTGTATAAACAGTGTAACATTAATTTAGTATGGCATTAATTTAGATTGGCAATCACTGTAGATTTTGTCTCATCCAACTACCTCAAGAGCACAGCTTACATGATAGCCAAGACTTTAATAATATTGGAAGATTTGTCATTTCTAGAGCATCAAAAAGTATACCAAACAAAGAAAGTGTCTTGAGGTGTCTATTACTAAGAGATATTAAAGAAGATAAAAATTAAAACAGGAAAAAAGAAAATAAATGAATTACACAATGTAGAAAAAATATTCTGCATGCTTCTTACAATGCAATTAAGGAGGCTTTCTTTGATTATTTGATGTTGTAGGACTCTTTTTTGCATGGAACTATTTCTAAGCATAAAGAAAGAATAAAAATTAAAAAATATTTTAGGAATATAGGAAGAAGAAATTATTTCCCTTTGTGCCAAATTACTTGTGTACCAGAATATGTTGAAATGCATTGTTGTAGACCAGGGTTGTCAAACTCATGTCATCATGGTGTCATCACATGATGTATCACAACTTTTTCCCCTTCGCTAAACTGGATGTGGGCATGGCCAGTGCATGACACATCTGACCCACGGGCTGAGAGTTTGATAGCCCTGCAGTAGACCTACCAGAGCATGACAAAAAATTCAGATGAGAGTTATAGATAAAAAGGCTCTAACTAATGCTGCTTAAAGACTTTTTGTCTTTAACTGCACAAAATGGCACATCACAGGGCAACAATTTGTTAACCAAGTGGCTTCAAATGGGCTGAATTACAGAATGTGTCCAAAATTCAGGACTGTGTTGTTGCTGTGTTCTCCATTTTTAACATTCTGTGGGACATTTTTCCAGCCTGTCTTGCAATGCCTCGTCCTTTCCTCCACCCAGGTAGTTACCTGCCTGGAAATGGAAGAGTAGAGAAGGGGAGAGGGAAGGACAGGGGGAAGGAAGGAAGGAAGGAAGGAAGGAGGGAGGGAGGGAGGGAGGGAGGGAAGGAGGGAGGAAGGAAGGAAAGGAAGGAAGGAAGGAAAGGAAAGGAAAAAGGATATCCTGTGCACCCTTCCTAATCTATGCTACACCTTGCACATTCCACTGACCTATGCCAGCCACTGCACTGCCTGCCCACATTGCTTTCCCAACCTATGTAGCACTTCTAGCACAGACCCACCCACCCTTCCTGATCTCCACACACACACATCTTTCTGATCCAAACCACCCCAAAATGCCTTCCTTAACCATTCAGCACCATTTGGGTTCATCCACGAACCCTTCCCAATCTGAACCATGAACCCCACCTTCCCTGACCTGCACAGTACCTTTTGCATATTCCCAGACAACCAAAGCCATTTTCCCATCCCATGCACCATCCCCAAATATTGAGCACCTCTTACAAGTTCCCATGGCTCCCATATAGCTTTCTGGATCTCTTCCATCCGTCTATATGTCATACCCACTAGCACGTTTTTGCTGGCTTTCCCAACTGACTTTCTTCTTACAAGCTTTCCACAAGTATAGTAAATACAAAAGCTAACAGGAATTCTAGAGAAGAAAAGAAGGGAGAGAGAGAGAGAGGGAAGGAAAGAAGGAAGGAGTCAGGGAAGGAAAGAAAAATGAGGGAGGGAGGAAAATGAATGTGGAAGCAGACAAGAAATAAGAAGCTGCTCTCACTGCTTTTTGTTCACCAATGATCATTCTGTTTCTCTGTTTTTGGTAAGGAAATATCTCTGAAACAATCACCCAATGAGACATGGTTAATCCAATCCTATCTATAATTCTTATGTAGTGACTGCCTGGATTTTTAAAGCTAAGATTTTTATGTAATTTCATTTATTTATTTAATATTTTTATCACTGTAATCAGAAAAGGCTTTTAGTGCCTTACATCACTGTAATATCTTCCTTAGATATTACTGTTCATGTTTAGGAGCAATGGATGGATGAAGACGTGTCCAAGTTAAGCCAGTCATCATTTTGTCAGTGAGCCTCCAAAGCCAATATTTGTTAATAATATATTTATGATGGTACAATATTATTATTAGATGGCACTTAGAAAGTAAGTCCAAATACTGTTTAATAATTTAAAAGATTTATATACCCACCTATCGTATGTTATAACCCCAAGCAGCATACAAATGGTAACAAAACAATAAAAAGTGTAAAATCAATATTAAAAGTTCCCAGTTCCCCCAAAACAACAAATAAACAACTTTTCTGGACATCAGACATGCACTGCCCCAATTCTTGTGGGAAAAGCCGAAGGTTTTTGAAAGGTCAGGAAGATCAGGGTCTCCTGGATCTCAGGTGAGATGTTCCAAAGGTCAGAAGCCACTATCAAGAAGGGATGTTGCCTAAGACCTTTGACAAGGCAAAATTTAATGGATGTTCAAAAAGGATGCATGCCCAGATAAATTAATTCTGCTTTATTGTAAATTTACTTTAACAGAATTTTTGACAAAGTTTTCTCTGGGCTAAATTTCTTTTTTTCTGAACATTTCCTGGGCTTATGGTTATTGCTCTTCAACTCTTGCCAGCAATGCTCTAGTCATCTCTTGTGTTATTTCCTCTCATACAGCTCCTCAGTAAATTGAGATTATATAGACATAATTTAATCAGAGCCCACATGACATCCTCATCTGAAGCCACACCAAATGACTCAATTGAACTATGCTTCCAGAAAAACACACACAATCTTTTTGGAAACTGGCATGCGATGATAGACCCTACATCCCTGCAGTGTGAGATTAGTATGGAGAACTCAGGAATCAAAAGGGAGTGATTTGTCCATGGCAAAGGGCTGATATTGATGTTTCCCAAACCAGATCACAATAACACTACCTTCAGACAAATATCATATCTCCACAGTGGAGTTGGATCTTTGAAAAGTTGGATCAGGTCCATGGTTCCCATAATGGCCATGAATTCCTGAGCCATCTCTGAGTGTGGAAAATGTTTTTGCCAAACCAGCCACAAAATTAAGGAGCTTGGGCAGAGATACTGCTACATTGGAAAGAGGGAGGTAAACAAAAAAAATCACAATTCCAATCTCTATGGTCTGACCTCACTGACAGAGTCTCAGTTACATTCTTTACATTGCAGCAAAGTTCTATAGGAATATAACAACATCCTTCAAGAATCCTATAAGTAATACATACAGAACATGTGGGAAACCAGAAAAAATAAGACCATTCAAGAGAATATATGGAGGTGTCAAGTCAGTTTCTGGCAAACATCCATGGCAAGCATCTCTTCAGAGGAAGATTTCAGCAGGTGTACCAAAGGGACATTATTGTGGAGGAGTATTGATTGAGCCATGCTGGGTTCTTACTGCAGCACATTGTATCACGTAAGCATACTTGCTGGATTCAGTTAATTTTCTTTTCATTTTCTACAAATGCAAAAAAAGCCCCACCCTAACTGTTTGATTTCATCCATCCTATAAATAGAAGAGTCTAAAGTGCATAATTTTATACAGCAAAAGTAGCCATGTCAAGTGGATAATAAATAGGATTGTGCTATGTCTTTTCATTTGACACATAGCCTTATTTCTTTTATATAGAATAACAGCTATATAAAATTCCGAAAAACACCAACTTTGTCTTTTGCTTCTAGGATAATGTGTTTGGACTAGTCTTATCTTTAAACTCTATTATTTTATAATTTGACAACCTGTAGAGTTATTTTATAATTATTTTGTTATTGTATAATTGTATAACAGAGAATATACTCTTCTTAGTATGAGGTAACCCACTAGAAACAATTTGTATGATGATGAATTCATATGAAATTGGTGCAGTTCTCTGTAATTTATAGTGTCCCACAGTCCTATAATTATGACGATTGTTCTTTGAGAATGGGCTGTTTTCTTTCATAGGACAGAAGCACACAACCTCCGGGTGTCCCTTGGAGAACAGAATCTCAATAGGAAAGAGCATCATGAACAGAAGTTTGATGTAGACAAGATCATTAAACATGGACACTATACAGAGCAGGATGGCATCCCATATAATGATATTGGCAAGTTCCTACTTTATGTCATGGATAAATCCCAATCATTACCATTAGAAATGGAAAGAAGAAAACTTTAGCTGAACCCTAAGAACACTAATACAGGTTAAATATTGAGAAGAAAACACTAAACTATATTGTGATTGTTACAAATAAGAAAGCTAGAAAATACATCTCCAAACATTTATGAGATGGGTTTTTTTTTAGTATAAATATATTTATTGCTTTTACTGTTTTATTTTTAAACAAAGTTAGAAGTTAAATGTAGAGATGACTTTATTAATGTAAGCATATAAATACATTAATGAAATAGATTGGAAACATTTAGAAAAAATGAACAAATACTCAGCTCTGACCCAGAGAAATTAGAAGAAATCTTATCAGCAAATTTAAGGCTATAGTGCAATTTGATGGCTACATAATTAACTGTGCCTTAAAATATTGTATTTTGTTCTTCTTTTCAGCTTTGTTGAAATTAAAGCCAATTGATGGGCACTGTGCTGTGGAAACAAGTTATGTTAAATCTGTGTGCTTGCCTGATTTTACGTTCCCTGATAACACAGAATGTTACATATCAGGCTGGGGAGAAACAGAAATAAGTAAGCCATGGCAATGGGAGGAATTAATTCTAATTAATATACAGACAGGATCAGAACTGATATTTGCTAGGTTTGTACAAACCACTCCACAAGGATCTTCTCTATGAACAAAGGCTCCCTCTGCATTTTCACCTATAAGCTCCAAAATAGCTGTAGTCACTTCAAGTTCCAGAGAGCTGCTTTGGTGTCTTCCAATAGTCATCTGGTGTGCTGCAATATAGTGCACTGTTTTCTTTCTTCTCCCAACCTTTTTTTCCACCTTCTCGTACTTCTGCCCTGAGTTCTCTGGACCCATCAGGTTTTGCTGAGTGCTGCCACTTGTGTGATGACAAGTGTGCTGTGCCTGCCTGCAACTTCAACTTTAGGGGTCTAGGAGAGGATGGAAGAGGGTTTCCAGTTCATCACATTGGAACCTGGCCCTTTCCAATTTTCTCTTGACTTCTGGATGTGGACAGGTTTGTTAGTATCAGCAAAAATTTGCAAAACGAAGTTTGGTACTAAAATAATGTCTATTTTTGAGTCATTAATGGACTGTACAAAGTATGGAACTGAATGTAACTTATAGATGTAACATATAATCTTAGCAGAAAGACATTAGTAATGCCCAAAGAAAAGCCCAATTTTATACATTCATGACCATTATTGATGTAATGAATCAATACAATTTGACTTAATTTGTCCTATATTTTATCTTGAAAGTTTAACATGCTAGAAATTTTAATGTCTTGTTGACATAATATAATATGTAGCTTCAAATGCAATAAGTATGCTTTTAAAATGTTAAATATATATAAATCTAAAGTTAACAGATGATAGACATTAACATTTGTTAAATTCAGTATTTTTACCAATCATTTTTGAAACCAGCCACAAAACAGAAAAGAGGGGAAATAAGTTTTTTGTGTTTTCTGGCATTCATTCTATAGGTGAATCATCTCATCAGCTATTAGATGCCAAAGTAAAACTGATTTCCCAAAGGCAGTGTAATGCACCAAATGCATATAATAGCAGAGTGATGGAAAGCATGTTTTGTGCTGGAAGTCTTCAGAGAACAAGAGCAGATACTTGTCAGGTGTGTTGCTTTTTGGTATTTGAAGACTGGTTTCTCTTTAAACCAAATGTAAACAGAGTATACGTGACAAAAACTGGCAAGGTGCTACATATGTACCTATTCCTTATATCAGATAACATCACCCAACTTCCTTCCCTTCAGCATAATACCAAAGGCATCTACAAGTAGTCCTGAACTTAGAAAAGTTCATTTAGTAACTATTCAAAGTTTTTCACACTTACAACCATTGTAGCATCCCTATGGGTGATGTGATCAAAATTCAGATGCCTGGCAACTGACTTGTATTTATGACTGTTGGTCTTTCCCAAGGTCAGGTGATCACCTTTTGTAACCTTCAACAAGCAAACTCAATGGAAAAGTCATATTCCTTTAATAACTGTTACTAATTTAACAATTGGAATGATTCACTTAACAACTATGGCAAGAAAGGTCGTAAACTGGGCAAAACTCATTTAACAAATGTCTCACTTAGCAATAGAAATTTTGTGCTCAATTGTTGTCATAAGTTGAGGACTATTTGTACTGGACTGCTTGTTATTTTATACTTGATGGTTGATTCTGAAAGGCTACATACAATTTTGATCACTGTCAGTTCTGTGGCCAGTTGTTCTACCTGTCATTTATTTGGTCTTCTTTGTATTTAATTTTAGTCCCAGATAACCTTCTAAATCTAAATCGATACTTTGCTTTTAAAACCATCACTTTTGAATGCAATGATTTACATTTCAAAAAAATAATAATAATAATGAACTTATTTAATCCAAGATCCTATTTCTTTATCCCTGCCATTGACAAATTGAAAAAAATATTATTCTTCAGGAGCAAGTATAAAATGTTAATTGTTTTTTATTGTTGTCAATGATAATTGTTTTTTTTATCTTTTACATTAGGGCGATTCAGGAGGTCCCCTAACATGTGTTACCAATGACACTTACTATATTTATGGAATTGTGAGCTGGGGAGATCAGTGCGGATTAAAAAATAAACCAGGAGTTTATACTCGGGTGACAAGATTTCTCAACTGGATTAGAACAAAAATTACACGCGAGTCTAATTTTCAAAACTAAGAATGGTAGTCATGAAGACAGGTAGTTGAAGTAATTCATCCTTTCAAAAATGTCATCCTTTTCTCTCTTCTATTTCAGTACTGAAGTATTTTTAGCCAAATTTCTACCCAGAAATGAAAACTCTTAATACCTTAATAGCATCTTGGCTAGAATTTTCTTGCTTATATGATGGCCAAGTAAATATGCAACCCTTTGCTTAAAGTAATGTACAAAACTTATCTTTTATATTGTTGTATTTTTAATCATTTGAGGTTTTAAGGCTATAAAACAGTGTCATAATCCTCATAATAAAAACTAGTTGCATTGAGAATTGTTTGCCCAGAACACCTCAGTCTTTTAACAGGGAAGTTAGAATTTACATTCAGAAACCAGGAGATATGCAGTGCAAATAAACCTCAAAACTTGTATTAATTCACACATTTGACTCAGAAGAACCTATTTATATTTGCTTTCAAATCCCCAGAATTTCATTTTCATTCATTTCTACAAACATTGATTGAATGACAATAAATCTCCAATATCAGTAATCACAGATGATCAAGCCAGCTGATCAAATGATATACTATTTTATATAATAAACATCTTTCAGTAGAAGATATAGAATCTAAATTGACTTCTGCACAGATGGGAGATTAAACTTTTTCCTCTAGCCTCTGCATGTCTAATTTTCTCTATCTTTTACTCAGGATTTTTTTTTTTAAAGGAGGCAAAAGTGCCCACTGGCATGAATTAATTTAGTCACATAGGAATTCAGAAAATGAACATCATTAACAAATCAACAAAATAACTGTAGACTTTTTGGAAAGCGATTCCACTGATTTATTTTCAGTACAAATATATATTTTTTCCTTTCATCAAATCATGGTTCATATATTTTTAGTACAAAGCTGAGCCTGCCAGTCATCTAGTACTAATTTGCTATCATAAATACTACATTGTATAATACATAGCTTTAAAAAAAAAAATCAGGTACATTTTTTCATGTAAAAGTATAAAGTTTAATATTAAATCACTCCTTTAGGGTTTGCAAAGGTCTTTTTTTGTAATAACTATTTCTGAACAGTGCACTACTCTGCTTCTCAGGAGATTAGAATAGCTACATGATTTGGAAAGCGAGCTGAAAAATATATGCATTTTCATGAGACAGATGTCAGTGTTTCTGTTCATTTTTTAGTTAGCTTCATTTTTCTTCTCTTCATTTGCAGAACCTCTGCTGCATCAGGATTCAGCTGGACTTGCTGGGATCCTTCTGTTATTTTCTCCTGCAATTGCAATAGATTCAGAACGTTACTTCCTCACAAAGACTATTATGTCATTCCATTTGTAGCAATTATAGTGAACGGTATATCATATTCTAAAGTAGCAGAAATAATGTTCTAAAGCTACTTTTCTAAGATTGGGTACTTCAACTGTATAAAACTGTTTACTATATATTTATAACTTTGCTGTTCCAAATTTCTTCCAGGGATAACCTACAGATCTTCATGACTCTAATAACGACTTTCAAGTAGTGGTTTAGATCCAAACCAGCTGAAATGCTGAGATGTTCATAGACCTGGTACAGGTTCAGCTGTCCTTATTTCCAATAATAGTTTAAGAGATGACCCAGATGCATACTGGAATCAGATCTGGTTCCAACAGATCCTGTATTCCTATGTTCCAGTGCCATTTATCATCCTATTTCCTTTACAATGGTTCTGTAGTAGAGGCTGGATGATCAAATACAATAATTATTGTACCTAATTTCTAAAATGTACAATGAATATTGCTTAGATTAGCTATCCATTCACTTACATAATCTGGATCATGCTGTTCCTGAGTTTCTTGACATTCTGTGTCCTGAGCATATGCCAGCTCTGCAGCCCTTCTGGCCATTTCCACTCTGTAAGAACCTGGAGGAGTCCAACCAATCCCTTTGATCCAATTCAAATCAGATTTGTACTTGACCTAGAAAACAAAATACAGTACTAATTGCATGGAACTTCCAAGACTATAATACTTAAAATCAGACAAAGCAAACCATATATATACTAAAGGCATAGAAAAGAAAATGGTGACCCCAGGAAACAGGTGTGATAGGCAAGGATAGGTGAAGGAGTATTGCAAGCTATTCTGTGCCACCTTAGATGTTTTCCAAAATCAGGTGCTACGGAGTCCTTCCATCTTAGAATGTTAAGATAAAACTGGTCTTATATACAGAATAGGAAGCCAGATCTTTTCTTTACCTCAGCCATGGAAAACACTTGTGTTTCTTCTTTACATAGAAAACATGACTTTATTACCAAAAGACCACACACACACTTTGTACAATACAAGAAAATAGTTGCCAAGACAGAAAAGATGGGCAAGACTCAAGATGCCAACATGTATTACAGTCTTTTCTTTTTCTTCTTTTTTCTGAAGTGAATATATAATTACAGATGCATAGAGGAATTGGATTTGTTTGGAGGAGCCTTCCTCATGGACTAGTGAAAGTAATTTCTTGGTTTCTTGGTAGTGCTATTTTTTCTTTCCTAAATGCATTAATATCTCTTCCCCCCCCCCCCCCCGTGTGTGCGTGCGCTCTTCCACAAGTGAGCTATGACATCACATCACTGTGGACAACTCTCCCAGTGACTGCACCTTTTAATGCATTTCCTACCTAAGCTTTTGTCCAAAGGTGCTTCTCTTTCACTTCTCATCCAAGAAGCTTCTTTAGTTTTGACATCATCTAACTTCAGTCAGAAGTGAAGAAGCTTCTTGGATGAGAAGTGAAATGTCTTTAAGAAAAAACAAAGTCCAGTTGCTTTTGGAAAAAGCACCTTTGGCATAACCATGACTTGGATGACCAAGAATTTCCATAGATATCTAAGTTTTCTTAAACCTGATGTATTGGGCCTTATGGAAGATGAAATCCAGCACATTTGAATGGCACAATATTAGAACTACTGACAAGCACATTTGAATGGCACAATATTAGAACTACTGACAACTTTTTAAAATCTAAGCTGATTCCTTAATATAAATAATTAAATTTGGATTTGAAAATGAATCCATTGGATTTGGATTTGAAAATGAATCCATTGAGTAGACATATCCTTGCCTGGAATGGGCTCCTTAGCCATAGACCCTAACATACTTACATCACTTTGTAGTTTGTAGGCTTGTTTGGCATGCCTGAGATTCAGCTGCTCTGGGTCACAGGTGTATTGATGCAGGCGCTGCCTGTAGTTGACATCACTTATTAATTGTTGGCTTTTCTTTGCATGAATAAATCCTGGCTGATCAGTTTGACTTTTGAATTGTGCTCTGTTTCTAAAATAATCCCTTTTATATTGGTTGTCACTCTGGAGGTAGCCCATTTGCAGGAAGTGTCTCATTTTAGGATCATCACGTGCATTGCAAAATCCAATCCGTTGACCTCTGTCCCTTAGGAAAGCTTCTTTGTATCTGAACTAGAGAATATTGAGACAGAGGAATGTTTATGTCATTACACAATCATATGGAAGCATACTTTCACATAATTTCATACTATGCCATAAGCATTTTACATGTACGTGCTGTAGCCGATTAGTGCATCAATGTTAAAATCATCGTACGACATGCTCATTATTTTGGCGAAATTATTTTTAGATTGGGAACATTTCATTGTAGTTGAAGAATATATGTAGAAACATACATTGAAAGCAACAATTACACATAATTAGACAATTTAAAATAAAACTCTAGGATGAGCTCAGCCAGAATCTGGTAACACACACAGGCATAGCAAGAATAGACAATCTTTTTCAGCAAGGAACCATTCTCTGACTTTGTATCCTACACAAGGTATACAGCTAATTATGTTACTGTACATGCAAATGCTACCCAAATTTTAAGAAAAGTTAAAGGATAAAAGGAAATCCGGGTTCCATTGGTATATTTTAAGTTTGTGAAGGCTCAAGGCATCAGTTTTGATTTTTTAAAACTCTTCACAAATTCATTAAATAGGCCAAAATGGGCCAAAATTATTGTTCTTGCCTTTGACAAGAAGAGTACATGTACCTTAATGTTGTCTCTCTGAACAACGGCAAGAAGAGTTAATTTCTCCCTGAACTTTCTCAGTGTTTTTCATTTGACTGATTTAATGACTGATTGAATGATACACTGAATAAATACATACATTTATAAATAAAAACATTCAAACTATTGTGTAATAAAATACAGGCCCAACTGATATAAGTGAAGTATGCTTGAGACAGTTACTCTCTGGGCCAAATGTATACTTGTATTTTTCTATTGCACTTTTGTTCTCTAGCAGTCTCAAGTCTGACAGAGTAGGAATAATAGAATTTGGTCAAATAAGCTCCATGGAATAAAAAGATGCTAATTATTTCCACAGCATATTAATCATAATTTTTACATATGCAGTTCAATGGCAATATTAGTGAATGCTAATATATGGTTCTGTTCTTATTGTGGGATCCTTATGGCATTGAAAACAGGTTCATTCCTTGAAACTATATAGGAAAAATCAGTGATGATATGCTTGGGCATAAAGGCCTTTAAATGCCCCCCCCCCCCAAAAAAAAAAAAAAAAAACATCTTGGAATGTTTCGTACATCACTGGCAATTTCTCTAGATGCTTTAGCTGTCTGGAAAGGGATGGCATCCAATCTGAAATCATAGCCAGCTGCCCGTGTTTCCTCCCAAGAGGTTTTATATAGTTTCTGCATTGAGAAATGGAAAAGCAAATCAATTAATCTTATTTACATATCTGTTGTGGCTTTATTAATTAATATTTGATTCTATTACAATCATTTATTTATGACTCAAAAGCTAGCATGCATCCCTTCACGTTTTCACATACAAAGTACAATGTCCTATTTGAAAAGAGTCACAAAGTCATAATTAAAGTTTGCTTTGATGCATTAGACACATCAATATTGCATTGACATTGCCCCTATTCTGTCTGTTGAAACATTTAGCAGTAGAATTTGGGTTTTACAGCAGAGACATTTCAGTGCTGCATTTCCACTATGTAAAACTTCAAACATTTTTAATACCTTCTGTGCTGTCTCCAAACCCTGCTGGTTCCATCAAAGTATCTAAAGTAGTGAGATGCTTTATAAGAAAGTAGGATTAAGGCATTAGCTAAATGCAAATTATGAGGAGCTGAACATAGGAATGCAGCTGAATACATGGACAGTTTCACACTAGAACAGCTTTTTGTGTGTTCAGCATCGCCACATAATTCAGAGGTCTCGACTCAAATCATCATGAGGACCATGTAACGTGAAGTTCTTTGCCCTGAAATCTTCTAAGCAAGTATTATAGCTAATCCATTCAGTTCTCTCTGATTGACTCAGGGCCAACATGAGATAGGCTGAGAAGCCTAGGGTGCCAAGGCTTAGAGGTGCCAATGCAGCTTCTCCTTCTGAATCCTTCTAAAATGCAAATCCTTGTAGATAAGGATGCTGTATACCCTTCCCTGGGTTACATTTCTATCATCCACAACCAATATATAGTTTTTAAAAATGAGCTTTGTGAACTCAGTGCCCTTTAAAAGCCTCTGCTGGGGATGCAAGCAAAGTGGCTGATCCCATCATCTCAAACCCTTGGAAAATCACTGTCCTACAGTCTCCTCAAAAGGAGCAGCCAGCTGGAGCACATGTGGAAGATCTCCCATCCTTCTCCTTATTCATAGA